CAAAATCGAACGCAATGGTAGTTTTGACATGAGATTCATCGACAATACATCGATTTAAAAGCTTGATCTCTTATAAAAGACAGAAAATGTGATTCATCTGTGTTTTTCACCTGTGGCCTTCATGTTTGATTGCTTCGAGGTATTCATCAGAATACTGGTTCGTCAGGACACGCATCTATTGTGACCACAGCCCCGTGCAATCAAAAACACAGTGTAGACCAGGATGGTCCTTCCGTTTCACCGAATAAATGACAAAAATTTCTAGTCGATCGATCATCGACGAGCCAGATGGTCGAGCAGAGAAGAAGGATACGATCAATCCGGCTGTGACCTCCAGCTATTCTGACGCCTCGCGTAACGATGGCCGGACTCGATCGTCGAAAACGATAAAGAAGAAATTTAACGAGGGGTTAGGTGTAGGTTAAGCCATACGCTTCTGGCGCACGTTCTGCCGTGCTCAGCGACTGGTAAATGGGCTTCTTGCAGAGCGAACAGGCCGGCCAGTTATTAAGGCGAGGAGCACCAGTCGCCAGGAAGGTGTTTAATAGCCCACCAAGTGTACAATCGGCCATGAAGGTTTTGGTGTGCGGTGTGCACTTTACATACATTTGCATCCCACCGCGGCAAATTCGACATCAATCTACAAAGGCAACGCGACTCTGTGCTCCAAGGTGTCTCTATCTTCACAAACCGGATTTTTGCAGCCCCTGACGTCATCCTTGATTACACTATTTTGGATTCGCGATTGCATGCTAAACGCTTCCTTTCGGTTCTTCGTCTTTCTTTGATGTTTTCGTAGAGTTTCATTTTTATGATCTCAGAGGAATATTTGCAAGGGGTGTTGAATAGTAGGAGATAGGTTAGAGGCCTTGAATGGTGGGCAAAGAGTTGTGTGTGCAGGATTTGTAATCGGGAGGATTTATAGCCGGGGGTTCATTTGCAATCTCGTTAAGATCGTGGCCAGTGTTAACTGGTCCTTGTATACAAGGCGTTGAAAGGAAAGAGTGCGAGATTTTCAAATTTTTATGATACTCAGCGAGAAATGTAATATATCTGTGCTCAAGCTATTAAACTTAAAGTCGAGCCTTTTGAAATCAAAATTAATTTTGTGTCTGTAGGTTGTTTGAAAGATGAATTAATTGAAATATTAAGATAAAAAGGTGAATATGAATTAAAATAATGTTCTTCCGATAGTTACCAAGATACGAACTATAGAAAAACAAGACTGAATTAAATCACCATACATTTTATTCCTTATATAAGATTCAAAGTTTGGAACTCATTGTTAGTCGAAATCAAGAGACACTATTGAAACTCCCCTGCGGCAAGTCTAACTGTTCCAGTAGAACACAAAATACATATGATTTCCATTTAAATCGTCCTAAGATCTCGTTACAATTGTATAATTCCGCAATACATAACAAAATTATAAAGCATCATAATTTATTTAATGAAGAGTGATTCTGAAAACTTGAGTGTGATGTGTAGATTAAAATCCATAGTACCGTGTAGAATTTTGATTGATGGCAAGGATATATATATACATATTTAAAGCTGTAATATAATAGAGACGTGGAATAGTATTCGACAGTCGTTCTAGACAAGCTGAATCATTTTTCTGCTACCTGCGATCAAATGTCTAAATCAATATTGTTAGATTATGAACACTGGCCAAAGAGATTTCTTTATTCGAGTCAAAAATAAAATATAACATAATATTATGCATCATACAAAATTACCACTTTGGAAAATGTTATTCCTCGAATCAAAAATAGCTTTTCGAACGAAATATTCATGCCGTCTAAAAGTAGCTTCTCTCAAAATCCCCTGCGCACAAAACGAATTCAAAACGAAAACATCTTAAGAACTACGATGCCCTCGTTACGAAACGTTTCACGCAGAGAATTCAATCGTGCATTCTTGAACAAATCACAAATTCTACACGTAGCCTGGTCTAATGTAAATATTAATTTCAATTATTTAGTAAATAACCTATGTACTTACTATAAGGATATACATATAAGCCATTCACAGGCTAAAGTGTCTAACTTTGTTTTTTAAATTTCTCACATTTTAATGTCAAAACACATGATTGGAGTTTATCTTACATAATTATATCAATTTCCTTTACTTCTTCTTTTGTGAAGTTAACCGATTTGGTAAATGAGTAATTCATATGATAAATGAAATTTAAGTGTGTAACACTAATATTTAAATCACTTTATTAAATTCAACTTTAATTCAACTTCATTGGCACCTACTTCAGCTACATATTCATATATTATTGTCCCCAATTGTAAATAACAAATTTACAAATGTATCCATCTCAATTAACAACGAAGACACTTGTGCCCTATTTTCAAGACTGCATCAAGTGATCCTACTCTATATTACAAATCAGTTAGAGCTTCTACTATCTATCTTTCTAACCACAAGCAGCACACGATAAAGCCAAGGAAATAATCAGGGATTAAATATCGGTAAGTCGGTAGTGGGAATCACGAAACCCTGGCGACACCACGGTGGATTCTAAGGAGACCCATAGTTGAGCGAACTTTGACAAGTTGGCGGTAACAGGAGCGCTGGTACCAAGTGCCAAGAAAGTTCGGTGGTAGGTTCGGTTGATGCATGGGCGCGGAAGAAGGATACCAACGCCAGCCAAAGGACATGTTCCGCAGGACAAGCGTAAGTTACGTAGACACGGAAAACGCTGAATCCACCAGTACTTAGCCGAGTTTCCACGAGGAGGAACCTAAGGTGCCGGAAGGCGGCGGAGTTTCGGGAATACGCGCAATACAAATTCACCGGCAATCTCAGACGCACGATTCGCTTGCAAATATTTGCTGTAATGGCACACCCATCCAGCCAGGAATTCCCTTTTGCTTGGAGGAACAACAATAACAACAAGCCTGAATGTGTCCGACATTTGGAAACCTAACTAGGAACAGTAAATGCTGTGCATTCCTTACTCATTATGGAGTGACCAGTACTACACGCTGCGAACTCGTTAGCCCACTTCTCGGATAATTGTAATGTATGGGATTTGAAATTCTTCGCGGGATTTTGATAATGAAAGATTTGCTAATTTTGTAGTAATCTCAGAAGGACCTGTGTTAATAACGGTATGTATACGAATCAATATATATATAAAGATAGATATTAATTTTAGCGAAGTTATTGAATACTCATAAATTGTTCCAACTGGAAGATATCGCAGGGACGAGATAATAATAACCATTATTTGACATACTAAACTATATTATCCTTTCTCATTTTTCATTTCCCTAGGCAGCCATTTTATTTTTATTTCTGACAACGTCGATTGTAGATTTGTAACCCGATTACTCGTACTTCAATGATATTTCTGAAATTGATCATCTCGACTATTCTAGTAACCATTATAGAAGTGAGAATTTATATATGCGAATGGCGAATGTATATGCAAGACTAGAAAGGGAGGCTGATTTGAAAAATATAGAGATAGACTGGGATACATGATAACTGATGGAAATTCGATTGCACGTAGTAAGACTGTATGAATGTGTGAAATCTATAAAAATTCAATATGATTGAGTAGCGATGGAGTCTAGTAGGAATTGTAAAAGTAGTTCAGAAATTAGGCGAGTCATATTACGTGAGAATAATTGTTAATTTGCATTATCGTTGTTATTTTATTACTTGACATTTAGTATGTATTATTTTACTTTATATTGTTTGATAAAAATATACTCGAAATTCAACCTTCCTACGGTAGCAATGGATGTTTTTTTCCAGTTTATAGCATGGGTAGTAGTCTAAAACTGGACCACCGAAGTTTTTAATTACCATTAATTGATAAATGGCCGTACAGTATATCTGTCAGCCAAATAACCGTGTAGAACGTAAATAATACTATGAATGACGCTCCTGAAAACTCATAAACTTTTCTAGAGTGAATAGTACATTTTCCAATTTGCAAAAACAAAGTTTAAATTCGCATCTAGATATAAAAAGGAAAGAAAGAGAAGATAGAACATAAATGTATTAAACGATTGCTCAAACGAAACAATATTGGAATATTTTTAAAAATTAGAAATGTTAAAAAATAAAAAATGTTTAATTTCGTATTGTCGAACTTCAAACGCAATTCCTTCACAAAATTTATTGGTATTAAAAAATTGTCAAACTGTCAATACACGTTGGTGAATAAGTTATGTTTTGTTTGATGTATAGCCGCGATCTCAGAAACTATCTGAAAGACTTGTGATAGATTTTTACGATCCCATAGCAGATTTCAGATTGCCACTACTAATTTCACGCGAAGGTAAAATGTAGATGTCTAAAAGTTTGGAGCTTTGAAAAAGTTGATCGCTCGATTTCCTGACATTTCACTAGGAAACTTTGTGTAGAACATTCCCGCTGCATTTTCCTCTATAACCTGCTATGCGTTCAAAGCTAATGGCAATTAAATAATTTCAGCTACTGTAGAACTAATGAAGGACTAATATTCGCGAAATAGAGTGAATTAATTAAATTAAATTTAAATTGATAAACTTAACTTCATTATTGGTATATTGTAGAAATCAATATAAAGTCAATATAAAAGACACATTCCAGGAGAAATTATCTTCGCAGAAACATAGATTTCAAGAATTGTGATTATTTAGTAGTCAGTTATCCATTATACCAATAAGATTCAATATTTAGTAGTACATTTTTAATAACAATTGAACGTTTAACATAACTATACATATCGTATACTGGTTTCAATAAATATCTTGCAACATTCATAGTGTATTTCCAGATTAGTTTCAGATTCTAGCACTATAATCATGCATATCGTGTCTTACTATACTGCTAATAAAATTTCAGAAAGTTTCATAACATACAACACATAATATAGATATAGGTACAGGAAAATTTTCCGTGATAAATATTCAAACATTTCTTTGTGAAACAATACATATTATTATGATCTACGATTGTTATTAGACAAAAAGATAGTATTAATAACTGATTACCGACTACTTCGAGGAATCCAGTGTTGCTGGACATGGGGTCGGTGTTAACTTGGCACATATACCATCCTCTGTCCGTTTCTTTGGTGTCCCGGATATGAAGACACCATCTACGATGACCGCTATGTGTGACAGCGATACGGTGATTCTTCGTGATAACGTGAGTAGCGATCGTGAGGATCGTTTGTGTGTCCACTCGCAGCCACGCTACCTATACGACAAAAGAATAAAGTATTTTCATGCGTTCGCCACAATTGTATCAAGAAATATCAAACGATATTAGTGTATCCTCTATCATAAACAGAAGCGAGCTCTCTGAAAGGTAATTTAACTTGAAACGTGTTCCGCTATGAAACTTCGGCAAAACTAAACTTGTTATTCATTGACGACGTTGTAATCTAATTTTGCGCAAGTTAACTTCTAAGAATACTAGTCGATGTGACGTGGTATTGTGCTAGGTGTTGAAGAAAGGTGAATATATAGAAGAAAGGTATCATTATTAAGTTTCATATCATTTGATAATACTTTCGTATGATCACAAATATTTTGTACGATAAAAGTGAAGTGTTGAATTCGATAAGAAAAAAAGAAACGCCTCGTTGGAAAGTAAGAGTATGCGCCAATATCTTTTCTAGCTACATATGCGAAGCATAAATAATCCTGGTATTACCTAGGCATTTTTTTTCAATTTTTAGTATTAAAATAAAATCTATATATTGCCTTCGTGTATAAATTAAATTTATAAATTGGGAAAGACACGTTTATTGTTTAAAAACGGCCACCAATACAGCGAACGAACGAACGTGCTCTATAAATATATCAACAAACGGTGCTCAATTCAAACACGCGGGGACAAATCGGGACGATGTGCTCCGTCGTTCGAAAGCAATTCAGCTAGTGATTTTGCTTTGCGCCGGGGGCTGAACGGGAAGAAAAGGAAAGAAGGGGGACTGGGAGAAGGGGTAAAAATTACGCGTGCCAACGAGGAACACTCAAAGCGTTCCCAGAAAACCTGCGATTGTCGAGCAAATCAAAAGAAATAACAATTTGCCTGACCCAGATGTCGCTTGTCACAGCGCCTCCAACATGGCCTGTACTGGGAGTATACGACGTGTATACGACGTGTATGCATTACAAAAATGCGGGCTGACGTTCTCCTCTCTACTGCTGTTGTTTTATTCAATCCCCGCCACTTTCGCTTATATCCAGCTCGTGTATTACTTTAGGTACAAGTTTTCGCAAGCGGCACGCATTGTCTCGCCGCCGTGTCGTGGCCAAGACATTCCGTTAAAAGTATACCATATATCTCTATATGTATTTTTCCGTAACAGAGCGAGAAAGAGTAAAACAGAAAAAGAGAAAGAGAAATTTCACCAGAACAAACCTCACACGGACTACATTTGCAAACGCGCCTGTTGTACAGGTATTTTCCTTGCTCTTCTGTTCTTTCTCTTCTTTTCGTTATTCCTTCTGGAACATTTCCTTCAACCACCACCACTACCACAACCACCACCCTTCGTCTCTCATAAAGTCCTCCCGCAAACTCTGTTCCATCCTTTTTGCCTCGCGTTGTCGCGCAGTCTCTCAGTGACTCATTGTCCAAGTGTTGCGACAATGTGCTCGATGTTACCAACTGTGCTCGTTACATAAAAAGGAAAAACTTCTGCGCCAAACTCGTAATACACTCGACGCCGTTTTAAAGCATATACTCTTGTACCACGTCTTCTTCCACCCCCGTTGTCGAGCCCACTGTTTCCCGGTTGATTTCTTCCCCCGGACTACGCAGCACATCCACTTCATTCACTGCATCCGTTCGAGCCGTGGGCGATGTAAGTAACTTTCGTGTGTACGTGAACGTACGAACTATGGTTGGTGCATGTATGTACACACACGCACACAATTTATCTGCCTTTATCTCGAAACGCGGCAGGACGCAACGTTGCAGCCTGTGCAGACGCAAGAAAGGAACGTTTGGGAAGGTTTCGCGAGGTTCTTTAATAGAACAAGGGAAAGAGGCGCGAGGCAGATCGGCACTCGTCGAGAAAGACGGTTCCAAAGACAGCGGAGGGCGACGAGGGTGAGGCTGGCAAAGAAAAGGAAGAAAAGGACAAAGCCGAGGGAACTTGCAAATCGTCCGCGCCAGCCTTCAATGTTAGCTCAACGTAGTTTGCCGAGACTATTGTTTAGCGGATGAAAAATTATATAGCTCGCGGATACGCCCGGGTTTGTGCTACAAAACGTCGGTTTAATGATTGTTTTAACGATAATGTTACGGCCACCGTGTATTTAGAGGTAATGAGGTTCTGGAGCTTTTAGGAAAGTTGTGAAGTACAGGGAAGAAAATTCAGAGATAAAATGCATTTCGTTTCTAACTGAACTTGGTGTTTGACGAACATTTTTCTTACTTCTGCGTGGGAATTGGGTCATTTTCATGAACCTTCATTTCTTATTAATATGTCATGCGTGTATGTATATCCACAATCTAATAATAGTTTTTACCCTTGATGCCTTCATTTCAATCCTTCTGAACACCAGAACAAAAATATATCAATATATATACACTACCTTGCATCGCTCGACTAATTATATATTAAGCTTTTATAAAAAAAGAAGATTAACTACTCGTTGACGCTTATTTCGTTCAATACATTCCAATACAACCACACTTCCTTTCGCCTTTTTCTTTTCCAGTTGCTCTTCGTCCCGGTTAGATACTGATGATGTAGTTCTTTAATTTAGCGGGATACCTCGAGCCTTCCGTTCGACTCCATCAGCGTGAAAAATGACTGGGGAAAATTCCCCATGGAAGAATAGCCCGCGGTAACCTCGCAATGATCGCTCATCCTCTCCTCTTCGATTTCTCCTACCATCTTTCCTCGCTCGCGTGCGTCGTAACCAGGTTTCCCGATAATCAACGAAAGAATGAACGTTGGCCGCGAAATTCGAGGGGTCCTAAATGATCGAAAACCTGTCGATGTATCGATCGGAGTTTCTCTGTCACTGTCGTGCTCGATATACATGTTTGAAAAAGGGAAAACAAGGATTAGAATTTTTATAATTTCGTTTGATTCAAATGGAGATGAATGATATATAGACTTTTGTTCTTATTTGTGGTCCAAGGATTCACCAAATTAGGGCAAAGTTAATTTGAATTGAATTGAATTTAGTAGTTAGTAAAATTAGGGAATGTAAGTAGTATATGATATATAATAGTCAAGATAGTTGAATTAGTAGACTTCGATTGAATTAGTTGAGTGTGGTATAATTTATTTATGAAATATTCAATTGAACAACACTAGATAATATTATTATTTAAATCCTTAACTTAGATTTAACACTTTAAAGATATTGTAGTAGCACTTCTGTTAGTATGTATTTGTCCTAATCAATTTATAATATCTCTTTTACATATACCCTACTTAAATATTTAAAAGGATTAAATTTTCCATAGTCTACAATTTCAATTTATTGTTTTTTCACATTTAGCAGATGTAGATAAATTCATTGCTGCAACACAAAAAATGCTGCGTATCGTAATAAAATAATACCAACGACAAGTAATTCCATCAAAAAATAATAGCAATTTATTTCACATTTGTTTTTATGAAATTTAATTGAATACATATAATAATGAAACATATGAATTAAATGGTTAAATAAAACATAAGCTACAATTTTCCATTTTGTAAAAATATTTTCAATTGCAAAAGCAAGGAATAGGTTCATTTAATTGCCGTATAAATGCAAGAAAAATAAATAAACAGAGCGACAGCCGCGTCCTTTGTATTTTAAAATAATTAGTTCCGACGGTTTGATCTATTCAAATATTACAAGATTACTTTTGCGAGAGGAAATTCAGAGAAATTCAGAGAAGTATTCCAAATTAGTGAGAATGGGATTGCCGAAAACGTTTTCGATATTGTGTCCTCGGTGGCGGCGATGCAATCGTTATTATTTATTTTATGCAATGATAAAGTGAAATGAGTGGTTAAAAGTATTAACGCTGCGTTATCGATGAAATATAATGTCGCGTTGTGCTTAATATGGCGCGGCCTGCATTAAATTGTGATTCTGATTACGTTAGGAATACCATTGATTGAAAGTACGATTAAATTTTAAAATGTATATTCGATGAACATATCCATGTCACGGTAAGCATTTTTTTTTCTGCTCCAGTGGAAAATTAAATGTTCTATAAATGCTACTCTATATAAAATATAGCGTTATAAATTTATTCGATGTATAGAAAATTGATTGTCTAAAGTATTATGATAAATTTATTGTTTGGTGAACGGAAATATTTATCAAATCAGAAAAACAAATTATCTATGTATTATTGGATATTATTTTATACGGTCGTATAGGATAATAAAATTTAACATAAAATATTTAACATAAAGTCTTAAACATAAAATAACTACAAGAAACTTAATAGAATGCGAAACGAAATTTTAATATCACTCATGAACTGTATGTATTTAACAACACATTATGATATTGGTTTGCGAATGGCCGTATATGTTCTTCATTAATTCATTTACGAGGATACGAACATACTTTCACCATTATCACTCGTATTACAATTTACGTTGCAAGGAAATCACACATTAATTAACCAAATTACAATTACTTTAAATCCATTGATCGTCTCTCGAAAATTTTAAATAATATCTTTCATACCAACTATCGAACTCATCGTAAAGTGATACATTTCCACGAGCAACGCCGATTATAAAGACAAGCTGCAAAACAACTCGCAATCATTTCGACAAATTAGAAATAGTGCACTAATTATCGGTTATTTAATCGCTTTTATCATATAGCATACAAATAACATACATGATCAGTTTCAATAGAAATCAAACAACAAACAATTATAAGCAACCTTTCATACGAATTTCTGATAATACATGTTTGGATCATCGATCACGTATAATTGAATTAATGGTAATTAAAACAGTCTGATGAATCTAAAATATGAAAAAATAGATAAAGAATGAGAAGGAAGTAGAGCTGAAGTTAATGTGTCTAAAATTATAAATAATCAAGAAAAATAGTGACGAAAGGTCTCTCACGATCAATGTTTCATTGTATTCTACGATCACTCACGCTCAACAATACCCTCAAGTCTACAGTATCGAAATAGCCAAAACCGATTTTGCGGCTGGTTTCTTCTCACAATTCCCTTTTCAAAAGGAAATTGGTAAACTC